ATTTGATTTATATATATCTATTAACAAAATAATCAATAATATTAACATAAAAGGATGTGTTTGAATAATTGGACAATTCTTCCAAAATATTATTTCACTTATTTTATATGAGAAAATTTGAATTTAGAATATGAAAAATAGTAAATGACAAATAATCAGTATTATGTGTGAAGATACATAACTAATTTCTAATAAAACAAATGATTTAAATATATATATACACACATTATGATCATATCCAATAGATTAAGAGTTTATAACATAAACCAAAAAACATTGAAAAAAGCAACAAAATAAATTATAAGAAATATATTAAAGTTAAAAAATTAAAATAAAAACAACCAGAAAATTGATTCTAATATATATATATAACTACACTATTCTTATTTAATAATCATAAGAATCAATGATAATAATATAGTTAAAAATAGATAAAATAATCATGCTCTAATTTTTTTTTCAAAATCCACATATATAAAAATGTATCATAAATTAATAACCCACTAATAAAATGTATTATGGATTATAATAATAATTGTGAAAAATGAAGATGTGGATTAAAATAATTATTATGGAAATATTGGGGGACCAAAATGTAATAGTTTTTATAATTTGAATATAATTGCAATGAATCTAAGGTGAAAAAACGGTAAAAAATGATGATGGATGATCTAAGGGTCTAGAGGAGTGAATAGCGAAGATGGATGTGTAACTGTGAATACTAAATCCCTCGTATCTTTTAGTTTTTTTTTACAATTACAATATAAATGGTTGCAATTGGGCTGCAAATAACTCAATATAATGCGCCAAGGAAGCATAGCCACATGATCGCATCAGTGCGGTAGCTCTGATTCTTATCAAGTCGTTGCACTTGCACCAACATTACGAGTTGGAGGCCAGGACCATGGGAGCCATGATGTAATTTTTTTATTTTATTTTGTGAACAAATAAAATTAACGCAGTTTAATGAAAAATTTTGTTCTCATTTTATTATAATTTGATAATTTCAAGCTCTTAGTATCTAATTATATAATTTGAATCCCAAATTATTAGTTTTTAGGTAAAATTAATTCAATTTCTTTAATTGTCGTTACATAATAATCAACTAGATTAACCGTTATTTGAAATGTAAAAATGTCATCATTTTGATATTTTGCTATTAATTATATTTTGAAAAAAATATTTTTAACCTCCTAAATCTAGAATTTTTTTAAAAACTTTTTTTTATAAAATTTATATAATATTTTATAAATTATATAAAAAATATTTTATAAATATTTTAAACCCCCTAATTTGATTTTTTTTATAATTTATAAAACTATGGGGGTCAACACTTAATTATGCTCATTTTAATTTATAAAATTTTTTTAAGGCCCGATATTTAAAATTTTATAAATTACAAATTATAAAAAAAATTATAAAAAATTTATAATATTTTATTAAAAATTCAAAATTACAGGAGTTAAAATTATTTATAAAATATTTTTATATATAATTTATAATATTTTATAGGAAAAAAAAGTTCAAGATTAGGGGTTAAAAATTTTAATTTTTTTTAAATATAATTAATAGCGAGAATGCCAAAATGACCTCGTTATAATGATAATTAAAAAAATTAGATTAATTTTGCCTAAAAACCAATAATTTGAGGTTTAAATTACATAATTTGATTTTAAAAACTTAAAATTGTCAAATCATAATAGAATATGAATAAAATTTGCCATTAAGCTGAATTAACGCATACATTATAGGTAATGTCACGTGTTTCATATTTATACATATATAAAAAGTCTCCACTCGCAACTATATTATTGAAATCAATATAGGTTTATATATCTACATCATATGATTTGAGTTCTACGAAATAATTAAAACTTATCCTATTCGTGCATGTTGAGCGACTAATTAATGTACTCGAAAAGGAATCCGCATAATCCATCCATTTTCATTTCTAATTCCACTTGGAAGTTCTGTGGATCTGAAAAATTGAAGCAATCAAGATACGGATAATGCCCGCAGTGCAAGTTGTGAAAGCCAAAAATGAAAAAGAAAAGAAAAGAAGGTTACGAGTGTAATATTTGTAATTAAAAGTCATTTTATTAAAATATGGGTAGTTTAGAAAATATTCAAAAGTTAAAAAGAATAGAGCTCTAGCTTGTAAACGTACCATGTTTTATTTTGTTAGACACAAAAAATTTTAAGCATTGGAGAGAAGAAGAGGAGGATCAAGAAGATGATTGAACTAGGATCAAATCTTTGTCTCCGATCAATTTTAAGGTGAGTTTTCACTCTCTCTATCTTTAAATTAAGTTCCTGCATGTATATTAGGATGCTAAAAATAGGTTGTAATTAGGATCCTCCAAATGATCTCGGAATCGAGCAAATAAAAATATCGAAGTTATTATAAAAAAAACTCGATCAATTAGAATTTTTGTTCTATGCGGCTAAATTACATAGTATCTTAACGTAATGAAAAGAAATAACACTAGAAGATTAGGGCTCCGTTTGTTTGGCGAAAAATAATTTCTAGTAGGAAAATCAATTCTAAGGAAGCTATTTTTCAGGAAGTTGTTTTTCAAAAAAATATTTTTCGACGTTTGGCGGTTGAATGGAAAAGCTGTTGAAAAACATTTTTCGACGTTTGTTTGATACGGAAAATGAAAATACAAAAACAGCCAGTAGTTGTTATATCAACAAATTTTGAAACAATTTCAACAAGACATATTGACAATTTTATAAACTTAAACTAATAAATAATAATGTGATATTTTGTAGAATCAATTTCAACAAGGCATACAAAAATTATTTGAACTTTTTTAACATGCTCCTATCGATATTTATTAGTAGAATTAATTATTTTTTTAGAATGAGAAAAAAAATAAAGTTAATCTTGTTGAACTTTTTTATATTAAAATTTATAAACTTAAACTAATAAATAATAATGTGATATTTTGTAATTGAAATAACACTACTTGTAAAACATAAAAAATATAATATAATTAGTTATAAAAAAAGGTTATATAATAAAATTATAATGAAAAACTTGGTTGGATAAATAAAATACAAAGCTCCTTCCATTCTATCAATTTATCTCCCCATAAGTCATACATTCAATCAAGAAGTAAAACATAAGTAAATACATTGATGGTGCTTTAAAATCACGAGTCACTTTGTACAACATAGTTATTCCACATATCTAATGCAATGACATTTCTTTTCGCTAACCATTCCTTATTCTCTTCCCTTTCTTCTCTTTGACTTAAAAGGGTTTAATCCACAATCATGGATTAGCTTGATGTGGTAATTTCTTCCATAACATAATCATCGAGGTCAACTCCTATTATATGATTGTGAAGGATACAATTTGCAAGCACGATATTCACTTGAGTTTTGTAGGACCAAAATGGTCGAGCATCAATACACCGAAATCTTTTCTTTAGTATGCCGAAACCACTTTCAATTGTTGTTCGCAAGGAAGAATGATGAAAATTAAATAACTCCTTTGCATTCTCGGTGGATGCTCGGTAAACTCATTTAGATGGTATCAAACACCACGATATGGAGTTATCACTCCATTTCGGGTTCCGTAATCAGCATCACCAAGATAATATTTACCTACAAATTTTATGAAATATACCACCAATAAATATTTGTATACATGCATAACTATATGAGTAGACAATGTACATTAAAAATTTTAGTTAATACCCTTTGGAACCTTAAGTCCTCCGATTGTGATAATGCATCGTTTAAGACATGAGAATCATGTGCACTTGGCTTCCAACCAGCTAAAATATAAGTAAATTTTAATTCAAAATTGATGGTCGCTAATACATTTTGTGTTGTTTCGCTCTTTTACCATGAAACTTTTTTTGGAGTTCCACGGATACACGACTTTGAAAAACATGGAGCTGTTTTCAACGATTAGCGAAAGCGAGTTGTTGCTTCATCAAACCTTGTTCCTCGTTTCTTATCCCCACCATTCTTACTTTGCTCATCATTTGAGTTTTGAACTATCATCTCATCCGTTGTTACCGAATACAACGAATGAATGGAGCATCAATAACAAATGATCTTGAAAGCTCCTACCATTGTTTATTCTCAAGACGTAGAAAACGCTCACGTGAGACCGGGAGAGCAAATAGTCCAGGGGATATGTGAAATATGACCTTTCAATGTCTTCAATAATGTTCACCAATCTCGGGGTCAACTCTCTCGCCCATATTTCGGACGTGCACGATTGTCAAAGTTCCGAAAGTGATTTTGTATTCGAGTGTAGTAAGTGGAGGCGATGATCAAGACACTCCACGTTGTCTTAAATTTGATTTGTCATTGTTATCAATAGGCGAGGATTAGAGATTGTGACATCAGATGTCATCCATTTATTCCCCGAGTCTCAAAGCATGAATAATCCTTGTAGACAAAGCCGAGACTAAAAAGTACGGGATCAAATTTTTATATCATGACTGGAATCCCTTACGCTCGTAGCTCTGCCATAAAAGGTAAAAATAGTTATTACTCATTCAAACTAGGGAAGTTTGTGTCATAATTTCACTAATGTCTTTGATCTCATTTTCCTAGTTTGTTTTCAATGTTGTTACTAAATATTTGCTAAGGACTCATCTCCTCGTTAGTTGTCGGTGATTTATTGAACACCATAATGATTGGCTAGTACTGTGTTTTTACATGGGTATAGAAGGATTCGTAGTTTCTTTCCTTTTACCGTAAAATCTTGATTTGTATATTCTAATAACGGTATTTGTATATTCGATAATAGTATTGTTTTGGCGGGACAAATATGAACCAAATGAAAATTTTGAGCAAGGTCTTTTGTAGATATGAAGTCTTGAATGCATACTGTTGTGACGACTAGCGATTGAAATTGGTTTTATTTTATGAAGGTCTTTGGACGAGATGGCTTGTGGGTGTTTTCCCTTGGGTCTTGATCGAGCACATCGAGATGTTGGCTTACTTGGGATGATTATTAATTAAGCGAGCAAGCTCATCTTATCATTAGTGTTCCGAGCCGGAAGCATTGCATGCGAGAGCCTTTGGCGAGGTGAGCATTGCTAGTGATGTGCATCACAGTATACTCGCATAAATATTTCGGAGTTATAATTCGATTTATAATGTGATTTTTCTACGTGTTTGTCTTATTCGGGAACCACTATGAAATTCTCTGTGGTCTGGAAGAGGAATGCAAATGGTTGAGTTCTCTGCATCTTAGGCCATGCGTGGGAGAGATACGAGTGATTTTTGCAATGGTGTCCACTTCGAACCATAAAATTTTGTACAACGGTACTGCGATTGTCTTAGTATCATCGAGTGCGCTCGATAGTCTCCTACTCTCCCAATGCTCATTCTTGACATGCGCGAACCGGCGAGCGGTCTTCGATACCCAAAAGCACACGTTAGGGAACCAATCTTTGAGCAAATGGTTGCTTGCAAAATGAGGTACTGTAGCACTGGTTTACAATTTGCGTCCACCCCCATTAAGAGAATGGCGGCAACAAAATCCCATTGGTCCATGCCATATCAAAACTAAAATTAGGAGCGAGTGTTTATACGGGTTTTACTTGTGTATCAAACCGAGTTTGTTATTTGATATTTGGTCTCATTTTTAAGTTTGGAACTCCTTTGGATACGGTATTTTGAACCATTGAATTCGGTGAATTCTTGCAAAAACAAATACTAAAAGCTTATGTTACATGACAAGTATCCTTTGCCGATTTAGATCTCGACACTACATTGTATATGTGGTATTTTGAATCATTGAATTTAGTAAAGTCTTGACATCTCCAACAATACATTGTGGTTAAGTTCACTTCCTAGATACAAAGGCCGTGGTGGCGTAAGCCCGGTGCATTGTTATTCATAGGGTCAGCGAGATGGTCGGCCAAGTTCTCTATTGGTCCATTCCTCGGTCACGATAGCCCGCGTAAAGAACCCAAACATGGAGAACATGGCAAGTCTCCCATTCTTGATTTCTTTAACTTTAAGCTGCTGCAAATGCCTTTGGATCATAGCAAGCCCCAGGGATCAAAGTCTGCCACACAGGTATACGGGGGTCGGTGACCTCAACGAGAGGTCCTCGCAGCGATGCGGTAACCTCGACGGTCGCCTCAGAGGAGCACCTAAGTTGCCCATATGGCTAAAATGCTTTGAGCATGGATCGAGCCAGGGTTTCCCAAATAGTCGAGACCACCATCGCTCGAGATTGAGAACCGAGCCTTGAACCACACGTGGCTCGCCAAACTTGGCTCCGTTCTCGGCGAGAAGCTCGGGGAAGACACATCCAAAGCTCCGAGCATTGACCACACTAGCATGAATAACCTCAAGCTCTCGGTTTTTGGCAAAAGTTTCGGGATCTGGCTGACGGCCATGCGGGGTCCCGACCATAGTCATCGGGAAATTCACCGAGTCAAGTAAGATGGAGGCTCGCCGGAGAGTGGTCCGAGGTACTCGGCACGATCATGACCATACCGAGAGCTTCCCGGAAGCCGCTGCCTTTCCGGCAATCTTCCTCGTGGAGACTCGCCATTGCCGACTGTGGGTGGTTGATGAAAACTCGATGACTCCATTCAAAGGAACGGCTTTGCTTGCGAAAGTGGATGACGAGTTGTAGTTGCCATGCTTTATGTTTTAAGTAGAGGGTGGAGTATTTGCTTGCTGTCCTTGTGAGTTTGGCTAGGAGATGATGAATGTGAGATACGAAAGTCACTCTTTTATAGAGTACGGTAAGGGCCACCATCCTATCCATGTGGGATCTTCCTCTTCTCCTCATTGGTCGATGAGTTGATTGTAGGCATGCAAAAATCCTACACCACCTCCACGCCAATTGTGAAGGCTAGGATGGATTTTGCTCAAATAATTGGGAAATATGCACAACCTAATCCAAATTTATCCATATGGTCCTTGCTTGTAAGTTTAATCCCGTAATTTTTTTTTTAAAGTGCGGACCAAACTAGTTTTAATACATATGTACCAAAATGTTGTATGACATGTCGAGTTGAGGTTTATATAATAAGAAATAACTTATTGATTATTATTAATTATTTCTTATGTATTATAAAAATTTTTCAATACATTATCTTAAAACTTAGTCTATTCATCCAAGAGTCCAAAATTTATATACATCAAGCTCTATATAAATTGCATGGGGAAATTAGAAAAATTAATCAAGGAGATTTATATATATATATATATATATATATATATATATAACAGATTAAAAAAAAAGTCAATTAAACACTATACAAGAAGAACAAACTAAATCAAGAAACGATTTACCACTGGTCTTCTTTTATCTCTTTACTCTCCCATGCATTCTTAGTCTCCCTATCTCTTATTTTATGAGTCTTCTTTAAACAATTTCCAAACAAAATTATATTAAATTCAATTATATTAAATTCCAAAAAGTCAAATTAACAAAATCCCATGTTATAGATCCAAACAAAATCAAACCCGATTGTACAAAAGACTCCATGTGTGCAACAAGTGCCAGTGCATAATAGTGCAATATATATATATATATATGACAACCTTTTCTTCTTGTATATATATGTATAATAATATTAGAGATTGACAATCAATTTATCATGGATTTTTTACTTTCGAGTTAAAAAATCTCACTTGGTGGATTTAATAGTATATTTGGTTCTTGTATTTTAGACTTTTTATTTACATAATTTCTTTGCTATTTTTTTTATTTAGTTGGTCCTTCTATTTTATTTTTTAAAATGCATTCCATCAGCCACCTTCATTTTAATTTATCTTTAATTCTTAAAAATATTCCCAAAAAAAATTGACACACGTCTGGAAAATTTCAGAATCCATGCCATTTATTAAGAATTAACAATAAATTAAACTAAAAAAACCACATTAAGTTTTTTTTTTTTAAAAATAGAAGGACCAACTAAATAAAAAAATAATGAAAAAAAAAGAAACCACATTAAAAAAACATATAAAAAAATACAAGAACCGAATATGCCATTAATCATTTTCCTTACTATAGTAATTAATGAATGTATAAAGTTATAAACATAATTGGATTAATGAAAAATGTTTAAAATGCTCAATAAGTAATTAACTACCAATATTTAGTTTATGGATTCTTTTTGAGAAGAGAAATAAAAAAAATTAAACCCATTAAAAGTGATAAGAATGTTTCTAGTTAGGTTTATTTTTTTTTTTTAATTCTCTCTCGTAGTTCTCTCTCTTTCTTATATTTATCTCTCTTCTATAAAGTAATTATCGGCAATTATTTCTTAAATAATATAAAATTTATTTTATTATACAACTATTTTAAAGATAAGTGTGCAATAAAAAAATCATTATTGAAAAAAAAAAGTGCCTTCTCCTGAAAAAGAGACATTATTATTCAAAAATGTAGTTTACACAATCACCCACGCTCTCTCATCAAACTCACATGCAAACATTGGATGTTGTTAACGATATGTTGTCAAGCAATCACTACCAAGAAACTCTGTCACAACTCAAAACTAATATTGATTATGAGATAATTATACTATAAATGTACCAACTTTTAGTTTTTTCTCAATTGAGTATATAAATTCTAATGTTTTAATTAATTTTTAATTTTTTTATTGAGTGCACCTATATTTTTAAAACTCGTCAATTAAGTATTTTTATCAAATTTTTATTAATCGATGGCATGTCCGTTATTCTTATAATATCAAATTATAATTTTGTCTTCTTTTTGTTAGAGGAAACTTTCTCAAATTATTCTACCATTCAAAATTTGACCAAAAAAATTTTTAAATATTATTTTTTCTTTCATATTTGTTATTTTTTAAATAAATAATAGAATCATTTGGAAGGGAAAATTCTCTCTAACAAAAAGCGAGAGAAAATAATAATTTAATATTTTAAGAGTAATATATACATTGTCAATCAACGAAAAAATTGATAAAAATACTTAATTGGTAGTTTTAAAAAATCAATATATTTAAACAAAAAAATTAAAATTCATATATTCGATTAAAACAAAATTAATATTGATATAATTATAGTACAAGTATCCCAATTAATTATCTATATATACATCCCGCCGGTCTTTTTTTATCTATATTTATAGATACCGATATGTTTTTGAATTAATTTTCGCATCAATCAAGGTTAAATCTATCATTTTTTAGGTTAAGTTTGTGCTAAAGCATACTTAGTTTTTGATCGACTACTGAACTTTTATTTAGACCAAATGAGCTAAAACTTGATACTATTAAAAAAATAATTATAGCTAATTATCTATAAATAGTGAGAATTAAATTTTAGTTTGGATCAAATTAAAATAATTTTCTTATCCATTAGAACATATTTTTTGGTGGTACATTCGGCCGCTAGTCTCTCGGTGTGTGTATACATATTGATTGACATTATCTAGTTGTATAGAAAACAAACTACTGAAACTGAAATAAAGTAAGCATCGGAGTCGTGATCTGGGCAGTATCCTGCTTCTGGCCTTCTAGCCATAATTTGACATTGAACCAATCTACGTCCATTTCGTAATCATGATAAAATTTGTTGCCACAGCCAATAAAAAGCGATTAAGCAATTGCACCTTTAAAGGCCTCAAATTTGAATAATGTTGGCATCATTCCTCCTTTGATAGGATGTCATCTTCTCTTTGAGGTGTCCATAAGTCCATCTATAATTTTAATTTGACTTATTATATCTTTAAATTATTCTAAAATATCTATTTAATCCATCTATCAAAATGTAAAATCGTCAAGTCAGTGGAAACTAATGCAATTTTTTAATTATCAAATTACCTCTTTCTTTTCCAAAACTTTTCATACAAAAATCAATTTATAATATTATAAGCAATTCAAAATCATACTTATGACATGTTCAGTAAACACATAAAAAAGGGACAGACCACATGGTTGTTGCGTGTCTTTAAATATTTGGGGGGTAGTAAATTTGATTTTTAAATTCTATATATAGGTCGTGTGCAATTTACGTGCACAATTTTCCCTACTTATGCAACACGTTATAATAAAAAGACCTATTGCTGATTTGGTTACAGATTGTAGAGGCAATTAAACACATAAGAATATATTCTTTGTTTTATTTGCTGTTTTGTTTATCCAAAAGTGTTTTTTTGAAAAGTATTTTTAAAATTTTTTTTATATCTAGTTGCACTTTAAAAAATTGATCAATGAAATTTATTTTCCAATCAAAGAAAAAATTTAGTTTTAGAGGAAAGAAAGTGTTTTTCTGGTTTGAAAGAGCGAAAATTGCTTTTTATAAAGGCTGAAAAACTAAAATGATACAAAGCTCTATTATTCTTATATATATAAAAATATTAATATATTAATAAAACAATTTAGTTGCCCAATTCATGCACGCCCCTACAACAGCTCATTGGTCAGCTGTTAAAAGGATTTTGAGGTACTTAGGCTCTACACCTGATCATGGGTTGCATTTCAAACCCGCAACCACCTTAACCATAAATGCCTATATTGATGCAGACTGGGGAGGTGATGTAGATGACAGGAAAAGTACTACAGGATATGCAATTTATTTCGACAACAATCTTGTATCCCGGTGCTCAAAGAAGCAAAGAACCGTTGCGCGATCATCCACGAGATGCGAGTATCGTGCCTTAGCCACAACAAGCATCTCGAGGTTACTTGGATTCACTCTTTATTAAAGGAGATCGGCGTTACAATACCTGTTGCACCCATCATCTGGTATGACAACATTTCTGCCACCTACTTGGCAGCCAATTCGGTTTTTCACGCCAGGTCTAAACACTTAGAGATCGATTTTCATTTTGTTCGAGATAAGGTGAAGAAGAAAGAGCTCACTGTAAGTTTCATTTCTACCACTGATCAGATTGCGGATATCCTAACCAAACCCCTCTCTAAACGGCAATTCCTTCTATTAAGGGACAAGCTGACTCTGCAATCAGCAGCTCAGCTTGAGGGAGGATGATAAGGATACACCAGCTGCCATGTTTATCTCTAACATGTGCTTGTCTCTGCCTCTAGTCTGTACAGTAGTATAGTTAAAGATATCTTATTGTTAAGCTTATCAGCTCGAGTCCTTGTTGTTATAGAAGTGGCGTCCTTGTAAATGTAGAAGTCTCCACTTGATACAAGTCTCTGTAAATATAATTTCCAGCTCTGTAAAGTATAAATACAGATGCTTAATGAATGAAATATATACTGGAGCTTATGCAATTCTTCAATTATATCTTTAAATTATTCTAAAATATCTAATGAGTCCATCTATCAAAATGTAAAATCGTCTAGTCAGTGGAAACTAATGCAATTTTTTAATATCAAATTACCTCTTTCTTTTCCAAAACTCTTCACACAAAAATCAATTTATAATATTATAAGCAATTCAAAATCATACTTATGACATGTTCAGTAAACACATAAAAAATGGACAGACCACATGGTTGTTGCGTGTCTTTAAATATTTGGAGGGGTAGTAAATTTGATTTTTAAATTCTATATATAGGTCTTGTGCAATTTACGTGCACAATTTTCCCTACATGTGCAACACGTTGTAATAAAAAGACCTATTGCTGATTTGGTTACAAATTGTAGAGGCAATTAAACGCATAAGAATAAATTCTTAGTTTCATT